ACCCCTCCCCGCAAGTTCATTCTTCTCTTTGAAAAGTAAAAGAAAAATACTTTCATTGTTATACAGTCCCTCCCGCCCAATCCACTCCACTATGCAGCCTTCGTTCTGGACTCCTGTGATGAAAATAATACCTAATCGTATATCCCTTTTAAACAGTTCTTTCTCTTACCTGTTTCAATACAGTATACATAATTTAGCCCATCTTTCTCACTCTCTCCCCAACCCTTATGTCCTGTTTTTCCACTTTTTAAGGAGAGAAAAGACAGCTTATTAAAAAGCCCATTTTAAAACTAAACATCTATGTCAAAGTAAACCCCTTAGCTATGAGTATTGATTATGCTAATTATGAAAGTTTGCTGCATTGCTCTTCACAGTTAAAAGAAATCAGGATGCTGGCTGTGCTTTGCTGGGCAACCTGGGCATCTTGGTTCTGGGTAGTTTTCGTGTGTGTGTGTGTGTGTGTGTGTGTGTGTGTGTGTGTGTGTGTGTGTAATTTGCTCTTTTTATAACTCTGCAATGATTAATTTCAGGATACATGAATATGGCTTGAATCACAACTTGGAATCATTCACTAGCTCTGAATTGACACTAAATCTAGGAGACCCAACGTGTCATTGTACCCCACCAGCCAGAGCAGGAGGGTATATGGAAGTCAGGTTACTAATAGAATTTTAGCTCAGGTCCTCTTCACAGTGGGTCTCAAGAATTCCTGAACCCACTCTGTAGTGATTTTCCCAGTTCCGTATGTATTATCGGACTAGACAGCCAACAACAACATAACAAAGAAAACTCTTATTTCCAAATAGAAATATATCTACAAATACAAATAAAGAGACTTTTTGGGGGGGAGAAAAAAATAATACATGTTTTGGGAGACACAATCCAATCCATCACAGAAAGTCTCTCGGATGAGATAGAATTTGAGCGCAGATTTAGATAAATTAAGCCAGCAAATCATGCAACTACTGGAATAGAGTGGCTCAGGCAGAAATAGCAACGTCACAGGGCATGAGTGGCTATCATGCTTGGAGTATTTAATGAGTTTCCCTTCACCAGTGTGGCAGAAGCGAAGCCTAGCGGGAGAGGATGGGGATGATGGGAACAAGGTCAGTGAAATATGTGGATAAGGATCCAGAATATCAGGCAGGACCGTAATACAGCCCAGGCACAGGCTTTGGATTGTACTCTGAATAATCCAAAACCTACTATTGTCAAATGTGTTCCAACTCATAGACACCCAATAGGACAGAGGAGAATTTTTGCATAGGATTTCTAGGGTATAATCTTTTGGGGAACAGACTGCCACCTTTTACTCCCATGGTGCTGCTGGTAGGTTCAAACTGCCAACATTGTGGTTATTGCCTTTATCCACTGTAAGGATTTTAAAAAAGAGACTCACTCTCTTGTACTTTGAAGTCTTCTGACTGCTAAGCTGACCATGAACTGTCATTAAGTAAGGATGAAAGTTAGGAAATAACTTGGAGGTTATCTCAGACATCTAGGTGAGAGGTCATGGTGGCTTGGTGTGGAATGACAGCAGCACAGGGAGTGAAAAGAGATCAGATTCTCTCTCTAATTTGAAGGTGACCCCTAGACTTTGTTGTTGACCTTGCTGATTGGGAATAAGAAATAGAAGTCAAAGGGAAATCTCAAGTCCTTTGTTTGCCCAGGGCAAACCAAGGTAGCATGTTCATTTACTGAAAGCTGAAAAAAGTTATATTTGGAGGGAAAGAAAGAATTCATTTTTTTTTTTACATGTTGAATTGAAGATGTCAGCTATCTAAATGGAAATGTCAAGTAACCAATTGAATTCAGGACTCTAGGGCTCACAGGGGAGATCTGGCTGGAGAGAGAGGTTGGAAGAGATCCAGTGTCTGTCTCTAAACTGGATGAGATCATCCAGCCAGGCTGTGATTGTTGATGGAAAGGAGAAGATGCCAGGACACAGAAGCTGAGGACAGGATAAGATTGAGAGGCAGAGAAGGTGAGGACAGTCAGCAAAGGCTGAGGACCATAACAGGAGGGAGCACCTGTATCTGCAGCTGTTGGTTGCTTAGTAGAATGAGGATGAAGGCTTGAGTGCATTTGCAATAAAGTGGATATGAAGAACCTATGGACAATAAGTATTTCATCACATTTAGGCCTTTTCCTTTCCCCTTTTCCTCTCTCCTTCTACTGTGGATATATACACTTACCCAACTATGTATATTTGTGGTGATTTTATATAACAAAACCTTTGTTATTCCAGCATTTTTTACATACATACTTCAGGGACATTAATTATATTCATTGTGTTGGGCAACTCTCACCACTGTCCGTAATATGCCTTGAGCCAAACTCAAGGTTCTTGAATGTTTTAACATTGAAAAGCACTGTTCTAAGTCACCTCTGCTTCACATTTAGTTAAGCCACCCTCCTGGTGCAGTTGCACCCACTCTCAAAATGATGTAACTTGGAAATAAGGACTCCATATGTGCTGTCTCTTGAAAAGACAAAAATTAGAATCCGTGCATTTGTGCGACCATGTCTATGAAGAGTAAAGGAAAAGAGGCCATCATTTTGAAAGGTTTACCATGGCCCAGGGATGGGGCCTTCACATACGTATGTATGTTTCTTTGAATATCATTTTCATCTATTGCATATGAAATGACACATTTGAGCATTTGCTGCCCTTCTGTAGTAGTCCTGTGCTTGTTGGCTAGCTCCATATCTAGCAGAAGTAGCCAAGTTGTAATTAATACAGGGACACAGCAGTCCCTCTGCGTCAGCGTATGATTTTTATTTTATAAAGGCTCACTCAGTGTACTGGTTTTGGGTGGGCTTTTTTGTTGTTGTTGTTGTTTTTCCTAGGCTATAATTGCTTTAAAAAAATTATGTTGGTTTGCTTACAAAGTTCATATGCATTGTGTTTCACACTATCTTTCATTGACATTTTGTTTCATACAATCATTCCCATTCCCAGTGTACTCTCATGTCAACTCCTAATAATTGTTACTGGTGAAGCTGAGTTTTATTCTTGGCAATGAAGATCATGTTCAAAAAATGGTATCATACTTACTAATTCACAAAACACTTGAATGGACAAATAGTCTTTAGGCTTTACAGTGACTGTGAAGAAGGTATATTAATTATGTTAATTTGACAGCTTATTGAAAACAGAGGTCTTTGCCATTCTTTTACTGTGTACTGTGTTAGGGAGCACCGGCTTTCTTCACTACAGATAAGATGCTAGATGATTAGTATTTTTAAATAAGTGTTGAGAAATTGGACTCCTGGGAGTTGTAATCAGGTGGCTTTACACAAATGTTAGGGAGCTTTGCTTCCTTAGTGGTAAGGAGCTTCACTGCCAACAAGAAGGCGGGTGGTTCGAATCATCCAGCTACTCTGTAGGAGGAAGATGGGAAGTCTCTTTGTGTGCAATTTACAGCCTCTAAAATCCCACTTTGTGTGCGATTTACAGCCTCTAAAATCCCACTGTAGGGACAACAAAGAGTCACTTCTGACTCGATGATATGTAACAAAATACATATTAGTATTATTTTAGTTAATTGCTGCAGACCAAATGCTGTAATGCTGGGGATGGTGAGTTGGGCTGTAGGTTGGGATGTAAGAAGACTAAGGGAATGAACAATTTTATCATAACTGTTCTGTTCTTTTGGACGTTGTTTAAGCTAAAATATGTTTCCAACCTGGCACTGAAGACCTTTTAGATAGAGGTTCATTATGATTTTTGAGCCGGTAAACATTTTAACTAACATGTAGAATCCCTTTTCTTTCTTTTTTTCTTTTCCTCAGTGTAAGAGAATACAAATCAGCAGTTAGAGTATTTCTCCTGTCATTTTTGTTTGTTTGTTTTTACATCATCCCCACAAGATGTTCCTTTCTTTTGCTTTTCTCTAAATTATCTTTGGCTTTACATTACTCTGTTATTGTTCGCCTTTTATTATATTCAGTTGTGTGTTGAAGGGTGAGTGTATAAATCCTTTGTCATCTTGCCAACATGAATGTAAGCTCTACCATAATCAGGATAATGCCTAGTTAACCTTTGTTGATTTTCAAGGCTTTGCTCAGTGTTTTGACCATGATAGGAACTCAGGAACATTTACCAAATGGACCTGCATTGATATTGGCAGCTGTTGTGTTGATGGTTTTTTTAAATATCGACTCAGTAATAGATATTAAAGGGGAACTATACAGTGTCAGTTAATTAATACAGATGGCTAGCCCTCAACTGGGACCAAAGGGTGAAACTCACCCAGAGACACCTTGAAAGATGATTGATGCTTTGTTTCTGAAACATCAGAGTCTTGAAAGCCCTAAGAAACAGATCTACACTATATACATGGAGTCACCATGAGACAAAAGTGACTTAACATTAACAAATTAAGAAATCATGTTACTGAATTTTTAAAACTTCCTTAATCTAATTTATGTTGTCTATTTACTTACATATGTCAACAAAACCTATGTCATTTCAGTTCCTTTATATTTTGAATCCAACTTGTTAACAATAAGGGGTCTCTGGTGGCATAATGGGTAAGAAGTTGGACTGCCAACCCAAAGGAAGGTGGTTTGAATCTACCAGCTGCTCCTTGGGAAAAAGATGAGTCTCCCATAATCCTGTGGAGGGTCAACTATGAGTTGGTCCCAACTCAATAGCAAGTAACAGCAACAGCAGTCTAAGCAATCGAAATGCATGATGTTTGAGGTCAGAGTGTAACTAACAGATTCTTTTCTCTTGCTTCAGATTATTTGCAAAATATTTTAATGTAGTGAAATTTAGATATAGTTATGTCTCATTTATCTAGTGGAGAGAACATTGAGAATTCCTTCAAGTGAATATAAATCCCAAGACTTGTGTTTCTACATTTTCAGGAGCTAGGAGTATCTTTTACATAATGAAAATAAGCTTTGAGATTCTTAAACTTGTAAGCAAATCAGTGTATATGTTATTTTAATAGGCAATTACCTGAATTTTTGTGTCTTTTTGTACATGGTAGTACAGGGAAACCCAAACATGAGTGGTTTCTTCAGAAAGATTCCGAAGGGGACACACCTTCCCTTATCAACTGGCCTTCCAGGTATACCTCAAGTTGAAACTGGAGCTTCTGTGAAGTGAATGCTTCTACTTTCCCTTTTGATTTGCCACGCTCTCTCCACGCACTAGCTAACACTAACTCTTCCTTTCACCTCTTGAATGGCCGTTTGAAGTTGTGTGTTCAAAAAGACGCTGCTAAAAGTTACTTTCTATTCATTTGCCTTCCTACCCCCTTGCCCTACTTTGTGTCTATATTTTTTCCCTTTTACCCTCCTCCTGCTGATAATCATTTTTCCCTTTTGCATAATTGGCCAGTTGGGGGCAGTAGAGAGAAACTAACCACAAATCCTGTTTTCTCTTCAGTCCAGCTAACCAGCCAGGGTCACAGCTTGTCTCCTCCCTGCACTCCCAACCTCATTTTCATTTCTCCCCATCTCTGAGCCAGCAACTCATTTTGAACAGTTAAATTTAGGGTGTGTGGTTTTTGAAAGCAGACAAAAACCCCTATCATTTCATTTTTAAGATTGGGGGCAGGGAGAGGCAGAAGGAGTAGAATGAATAAGTCATTGGAAGGACAAAGCACCCATATATTGAGTTTCTAACAGTCACTTTGTTCTCAGCTGAGGACAGAATTCAGATTGTCTTTGATTAGAAGCACACATTCCACAGGAGAACTTGACCGCATTTCAGCCCTTTTTTGATTAGCAAAGGTTCTAAATATGAAAACCTCCAGCCCTGGCTAGGCTCTAGGAAAAATAATAACTCAGAATGCCTTCTTACCTTCTGAACTGTTCATAACAATCGCTTTTTACGTGTGCCTTTGATTTTTCCTTAATGAAGCAAATGTAGATATCTTCTATTTTATGTTGGAAAACATATAATTAGAGTTTTTATCAATTTTGCCAGGATGTATTTGCCATGTCAGAAATCATTCTCTTCTAGAAAGTGTGCATTTTATGGAATGTACTAATTATTCATGCTAACTAGTCTCAATGACTTCTCATTCCAATAAGTCACCTTTCTTGCTCTGAAAGTATTCTCCCCAGTTAGCAACCCGTTCTCATTTTGAATTATTTCTGCTTTCTCACTACATTGTTGTTGTGGTGGTGGTTATGTGTCATTGAGTCACCTGCAACTCATAGCGACCCTATGTACAGCAGCCCTAAACAACACTATTATCTCTGATACACGTACCCCCATTACCCCAGTCACTGAATCAATCCATCTCATCGAGGGTCTTCCTCTCCTGCACTGTCCCTCCACCCTCTCAAGCATGATGTCCCTCTCCAAGGACTGGTCTCTCCTTGCAACATGTCCAGAGTATGTCCCATGAAGCTTCAGAATCCTTGCCTCCAAAGAGCAGCCTAGTTTCACCCCCTCCAGGACAAACCTGTTCGTTTTCTTCACGGTCCATAGTAATACTCTTATCCAGACCAACAGCTCAAAGTCATCAATTTTCCTATCAACCCTAGTCGTTGTCCAGCTCTCTGATGTATAGCAAGTGATTGCAAAGTCTCTTTCTACATTTCAAAAAAATACAGATAAGAACCAGCTAACACTATTCATACTCTTTGCAAAGGACTAAGCTAACATCACATTACATATGTCACCATTCTTCCTGTGTAAAGAATGAAGCAATCAAGGATTTCACCTAAGGAGCTCTGGTGACTAGTGGTAAGGAATTGAGCAGCCAGCTCCAAAGGCTGGTGGTTCAAATCCACCAGTTACTCTGATGGAGAAAGGTGGATAATCTCCCTTCCTTGTAATTTATGGCTTCTAAAAACCCTCAGGAAGGTCAGCTAGGAGTTAGTTCTGACTTGATGACACATAGCAACCCAGTCAGAATTGGATGAGACAGAATTTGGACAGAAATCCCTGCAGCCAGACATCCCCACAGGCAGACCTCTTGGCAACTTTGCTTACGCACTAATGGAAAAAGGTCTGTTGCTTTTGATATAAGCCTTCATTTTCCTCTCGGATAGTTAAATGGAAACCAGAGCAATTTCTTTTCAGATTCATTTTTAACTAAGAATCTGTGAGCAGTTCCGGAGAGCAAGAAAACCTTTGTACATTAGTCCTTTTCACAGTTCTCTTTTCACTAACTTTCTTCTTCGTTCTTGGTAGTGACAACCTAACTGGTCAAACGCCTTCTGAACAGAGTGGCCGTCAGGCGCAGAGCATGAAAAAGCTTGGGAATGTTGAGTTGGGAACTTGAAAAAATAAAAGAGATGATTTGTTTATTGAATTTTGAACTCAATAGAAAACAAAAGTAATCATGAATGTGCTAACATTTCCATACACAATAGGGTTTTGGTCAATGGGCGCATGTATGCCTGGAAACTCCCCATTGCCCAGATGGGCCTCTCCATGCCCAGAACCTTCCGTGGTTCCTGGCACCAGCCTCACTGCCCTGGTGTACATATTGCATGGTGGTGCATATTAAAGACTCTCCCACTGGCTTCTGGTATTTATTCAGTGAGTGGGACCTATTATCTCCAGGATACCATCTGCATCACAATGATACACTTAGACAAGTTTGAAAACTTGATTTAAAAGCATGTATCTGGTTTAAGTAGTAGGTGTCTGATGTTAAACACACACACACAAATACTTCGTTAAGAAGTTGTTCTTTCTGTGGGTGACTTTCTGTTCCTTGGTTGTTATCCGTGAGCACGCATGCTTTTCTTCTCCCCATTGAGCCATTACTGCTCCTTACAACTTAACCCCTTTTTCTTTCTTAAAGAGTAAAGGTTAGAGAAAAACTGGTGAAGGAGGAGAGTGCCCGTAGCAGCCCTGAACTTGCCCCCGAGTCCTTCGCTCAGAGGAGACATCAGGCCGTGCATTACCTATCTTTTCAGTCCGAAAACTCGGCTTTTGAAAGGATCCCGAGCAAGGCGACTGCCTCAGTCCGCCAGCCGATCCGTGGCTACATTCAGCCACCAGATCCTGTCCACGCTGCCAAGCTGGTGACCACAGAAAGCCCAGAAAACGCCTCCGAGTACAGCTGGGTGGAAGCAGTGACACAACATGTCAGAAAGCCTGCCCCCCCGAAGGTTCTGGAAGATGAGAGGAGGAGAGACACCCCGGTTCTCCATATTTATGAGTCCAAACCAGAAGAAGACGTGTTCCACACCGAAGCTCTTGAAAAAAGCAAGAGAACAATTATGGCTCTGGAGGACCCCAGGCCGGTGAGAAGCCAAGACGACCTGTCCGGTGATGAGGAGGTGGTGAAGCCTGCTGTGAGCACCCTCACCTTGGAGCTCCAGAGGGAGCAGGAGCGGCTGCCGCAGCCACCCACCGAGAGAGGGGGCAGGAGTGAAATGTTTGTGTATGTGCAGCGTGAGCCTGTGTCCCAGAACGCCAGCCTGGCAGGTCACAAAAAGGAGGTTCCTCCAAAGAAGCGCAAAGTCCTCACCCGCTCGTTCTCTGATTACACGGGCCCCCCTCAGCTGCAGGCCTCCAAGTACAAGGACCTCGTTTCAAAACAAGAGCTAGAACCTCAGGGTGTCAAGGCTGAGGGACCCTCCATGGACGTGGGCATGGTGGACACCAAGGTGTCAGTCGCCCAACTCCGCAGCGCGTATCTGGAGTCCGCCAGGGCCAGCAAGAAACCTGAACTGTAGGTGATGTTGCCAACACGCTCCCAATGTGTCACTTGCACGCCATTGGCAGAATGATGCACTACTCCTCCACGTGTGCCAGGCCCTGCATTAAATCTTGTTAGCTTAGCTCACGAGTGTGTGCAGGGCAGACAGTAGTAGGAAATGGCTCGAACACTAGCATTTTGCTTCTGGCTACTAATGGGGTAATAAGTGTGGGGTAACTGGGATGCTCCACCTCCTTTCGTGCATGGTAGAGGCATGCAGAGGGACTTAGGAGTGCCTTCACTCCCTGAGATGCATAAATCTTTGCCATATTATCTCTCTTTTTCTCTCTCTTCCCGTGACCATCGTGTATATTCTCCACCCCATGGTTCTAAAAGTCATTCAAGGGTTGAGAGGTCAACTGAAGGAGTTGGCTCGCCCACCAGTATGGAACGGGAGAGAGGGTCCCGGAAACCAAGACGCTATTTTTCTCCTGGTGAATGTAGAAAGACTTCTGAGAGATTTAGAACACAACCTATAACCTCAGCCGAGCGAAAGGAGTCGGATAGGTAGGCACCTCTGTGTGTGGTTCTGTAGGTAAAGGAATGTTAAGAGCGATGAATGATGTAGGATTTTTAATGCAGAGTTAGTCCTGATGCTGTTGATATAGCGTAGGGACGATTCCACAAGTCTTCCACTTAATATGGAGTATTTATGTGGCTGATTTGAAAGTATTTTTTTAAAAAACATATTGGCCTTCACAAGGGTATCACAATACACCATTTTAATTTAAATGCATTTACACTTGCATTCAGGTGGTGTGATAAGTCATTGATCACTGTGATTTAAGACATGAGAAATATGATTTCTCTTCATTTAACATTTGTAATATTCTAATGCCCATTGTCAAATTAGAAACCAAAGTGAATCGCCACCAAATTTTACAGTGAAGCAGCTAAAAGACCGTATGTTCACTTTAGAAATGTCTGCCTTTTTTGTTTTATTTGAGGTTTTAAAGAATTCTCATTTGCTTTTGCATAGAGAGGATAAGGTTTGTAAAAAAATTAGTCCTGTTTCATAATTTGCACTTGACCTTTTTAGTCGTGAGTTTGGCTGAGATTGTGTGCACCTGTGTTCCACTGTGTTGGCACCACTGAAACTATATTCACAACTGGAATTGCTACTAGTGGTGGGAATGTTTTATTACATTTTTAATTTTCACTTCACATATGATGTTTTCTTTGGATCCTCTGTTCACATCAGCTAATTTATTATTACTATTATTTGCTAATATCTTTCCTAGATCAACTTCCAATTCAGAAATGCCAACTCCTGAAGGCAAGTATATTTTCCTTCTTCTTGATCATCTCACCCAGATTGGAATGAAATATAGAATTTGGGATTTTTGAGCAGATAGGATTACAAAACATGTACACCCCTCCATTTCCTACTATCTGTCTATAAACACAGGAAAATGAACTGGGATTTTTTTTCAGACAAGCATTAGTTTTTAGTTAAAGAATCATAGAGCTGAGCAATATTAAAGTCAAGGAATTTGGACCACAGCAGCAGAATTTTTTTTTTCTCTCTTCCTACTTCTGTTATTTAACAGTGAAGAAGACTAAATAGTGTTTGACAGAGTCCTGGTAGCACAATGGTTATGCGCTCAGTTGTTAACCAAAAGTCCATTGGTTCAAACCCATCAGGTCTCTTAGGAAGACCGATGAAGCCATCTGCTTCCATTAAGATTGCTGCTTTGGAAGCACTGTGGAGTAATTCTACTCTGTCCTGTTGGGTCCCTGTGTGTCGGCATCAGTTTGCCAGCAGTGAGTTTGTGCTTATTGGCTACAAGCAGCCCTGGTGGTACAGTGATCAAGCATTTAACTGTTAACCAAAAGCTGGAATCCTCCTGCTGTTTCCCAGAAGCAAAAGCCTGATGATGTGCTTCTGTAGAGGTTACAGTCTCAGAAACACTAGGAAGACAGTTCCATTCTGTCCTGTATAGTTCCTATAGGCCAGAACTGACTCAACAGCAATGAGTGTATCATACATTGATCAACTATCTCTGAAAAAGAACTTCACCAGTCTTAGTCAGATACTAAAGTAGAATATTTCTGCCCTAGCAGGTAAGGTTTGGGGTTTGGGTTGGTTTGGTTTGGGAGTTCCCTCCCCCCCTTTGTTTTTTCCTTCTGGATAAGGTTTGGTTTGGATTTCCCCAAACATTGTTGTCATATCAGAACCAACTCAGAGCTGACTTTCCGTTGGGTTTCTGAGGCCGCAAATTGCACAAGTGGGGATTGCCCATCTTTGTCCTGTGGAGCAGCTGGTGGATTTGAATCACCAGAGAAGTAGAGGGTTTGAGTGAGCTCTCTAAACTCTAACTAAACCGTAAGCTCTCTAAAGTTTAATCTGATGGAAATCAGCGTATTTTCACTGAATGGAAACAATTACCCAGAGGGAGAACTATTGCCAATGGTTATTACTAACACACCTATTATTCTTTTCAAAGTATTTTCAGACTAGTTTAAGAAATTTCTCAGAGTTTGTTACTTAGGGTTTTTGTTTATTTGTTTGTTTTTTTCATGATGTACACTTTGTATTTTGTGGCATTTTGCAGATGAAGGAAAGGTGGATGAGCGAGCCAAACTCAGTGTTGCTGCCAAGAGGCTGCTTTTTAGGGTAAGATGTCCCCAAAGCATTAGATCACAATCATGACCCATTGAGCTGAGAGCTCCTGCTTCCCCATCTTGCTTTGTGTGCCTCTGGACACAGCAGGGTGTTCTAAGGTCATCCTCAGTCTACCTGTATTTTTCCAGTGATTGAGACACCCAGCTAAAGTGTACTCTCGGTAAAGATATGTACCTTTCAGTGACCACCCTGTCTGTAAACTCAGTGGAACAACAGAGTACAGACGTGTTTCTGCCCCTGCCACCTTTCCTTGGTTTTATAAGGATCCCACAATGTTTCTACACAGGAACTGGAAAGATCGTTTGATGAAAAGAATGTTCCCAAAACACGTTCAAGGAATACGGCTGTGGAGCAGAGGCTTCGCCGCTTCCAGGACAGATCCCACACCCAGCCCATTACAACTGAAGAAGTAGTCATTGCAGCCACGTGAGTCTCTCTCAGGATGCCTTGGCCTTAGCTGGCATATTTCCTTTTAAATAATTATTGGAGAAAACAAGATGGCAAAACAATGGTTTACCTAGAAGCCACAGGGAAGTTGGTCCTTGGGGAGGTCCCTTGCTGCTGCCTTTCTAAGCTTCAAGCTGGTTATCTGTGGGTACCTTTAGAGAGCCTGGGTGACACAATCAATAGATTCAGCAGTTTGTTGCTAAACCAAAGATTGGTAGTTCAAAACCACCCAGCAGCGTTATGGAAGTAAGGCCTGGCGAACTGCTTCCATAAAGATTAGAGCCAAGAATGCTCTGTGGAGGAATTACAGTCTGTAATATGTGGAGTTGTCATGAAGCAGGACCATCCCACAGAATAGCTGGTGGATTCGAACCACTTGCCTTTGGAATTTCAACACAGCTTCTTACAACTAAGCCACCAGAGTTTCCTTATGAAACAAATAAAAGAGAAGGGATCTTTTTTATTTTACTTTATTATATTTTGTGTGTGTACCGTCAAATCAGATCTGACTGGTACAGGAGAAGATTGCCCCTCCTTCTCCAGTAGATCATCTGGTGGATTTGAACCGTGTGCCTCTGGGATTGCAGTGCAGCTTCTTGCCACTAGGCCACCAGAGCTCCCTTAGAGAAGGGATCTTTTTATTTGTTTTTTAAATGATCATCAGTAAACATTTCATGAGAAGTTTCATGAACTTAATACCAGCTATCATCACCAACACTTTGTCTCTTCTAGAAAAACATGAAGCATTAATTCAACTTGATGATGATGATGATGATGATGATGATGATGATTAATTTGTGCATCTTTATTAGCTCTTTTTACAATGGTTAATTTAAAACAAAAATACGTTGGTATAATGACACCTTCCCCCTCCCCCCAGTGTACTCCTCACCCAGTTTCAATAGTTGTTGACTCCTGGTCAACCTTGTTCTCTACCTATAACCCCACTGACTTCCTCTTTCCTCCTGCACTGTTTAACACAAACCACAAATATAATTTTACTCCACCCATAAATTTTTAGTGTGCAGCTCTAAAAATTGTTCTTGTTGTGTGCCGTCAAGTTGGAACCAACCCTCGGTAAGTTAATTGCACAGGAGGAGATTGCCCATCCTTCTCCCACAAAGCAACTGGTGGTTTCAAGCCACTTGCCTCTGGAATTTTAGCACAACTTCTTAAACTAAGCCACCAAAGGTTGCTTATGAAACAAATAAAAAAGAAGGGATCTTTTTATTTGTTCTTAAATGATCATCAATAAACATTTCATCAGAAGCTTGATAATTTTGCAATCACTTTTGAGCACTATACTCAGAATTCATATCCCAGTGTTATTCTTTCAGAGATAATTATTTCAATCAAGGGGAAGCTTTTATTATTTTGTTAAAAAATTCTTTCCATGACCCCGAAATACACATGTAGTACACACACCTTCCCTGAAAAAAGTGAAGCTCATCTCATTTGAGAGAATGATGCGCTAAATTTTGTTACCTCTGTGACAAAGTTCATGTCTGTGAACTGCTGGTACGTCAGCGGGCTTCACTTCAGCTCCCAATATTCCTCAGCTGCTTGGTGGATCTGTGGATAAGTAAATTCTAGTACTTATCTCGCTCTTGTTAGATTGTTGGATGTTTTATTTTCTTAAAACAACAACAACAAATGTATATGGCTTTTGGAAAATAAGAAGCAACTAGCCGTGGGAACAAAAAAGCAGTCACCTTGCAAGGCTCATCCGGTTTCATATACTTTTTTATATTATATGAGGACACTGATTTTTAAAAAAAATAATAATGGTAGAGAATGACATTCTACACATGGACACAATCTACTTATTTATTGATAGCTAATACTGACTTGAATGTTTATTTGCTGTTTTTTTCAAATGAAGACACTTGTACTAAAAATACAGGGATTCCTTTTTAAGCTGAAGAATCTATTCTATCCCATTAACTTTGGGCAGCCTCTGTCTTTTATTTCTTAAGTTTGTAATTGCTTTTTGAGTTCTGTTGTGGTTTTTTTTTCCTCAAAAGGAGCTAGCAAAATAATTTAGTTGAGGTATTTGATTTCGCTTTTCTGAATTTAAAATGCTTTCTTTAATGCTTCTTTTCTTCTCTCTCCTTATGAATGTTCCTTCTTTGGCAATTGCTTTAAAGTGAACCTATCCCTGCTTCGTGTTCTGTGGCCACCCACCCCGTAATGGCAAGACTTCCTAGTCCCACTCTAGCTAAGAGCACTGTGCAGCCTGCCAGGTACTGGACAGAAATAGCTGCATGTGGCATTGAGAGCAAAGGTGCAATACAGCCAGTGCATCTTACAATCTTGAATGCTTTTCATTTGTTTGACAAACCAGTCAGTGCCCTGAGTGGTTCCGACCATTTGTGGCATTTACTTTTGTCATGATAGGAAGTACTGATAACATGATGTCATCCTGCATGAAAACCCATTCTTTCTGTTCACATTATGTAGTGGAACTCATACCACACTAACTCACTGGTCCATTTGTTTTGTGTCTGTTTTCCTAATAATGCTCATCCCTAATTAACTTCATTCTTCATCTGTAAGACTAGCACTTAATACAGATTAACAAATGGGAACTTAATGCAAAAGTTCAAATTTGGGTAATGCCAGAATTTTATATACATGTAGATAAAATATATATTAAAAATACATATATGTACATATATATATACACATACATATATATGTATGTATAACTATGTGTCTATATGCCAGAAACAATTCTACATGTGTCTGATTTAGAGATACATATATATGATTGGGAAAATAATTACAGTAGCCAAACTTAGATGTTTTACTATTGTGCTTTGCTTAATGAATTTGAATATTCTGCTTTGAATTATGGTGTTTTAAAGTGATGTCCTTAAAGCATGTACATATCCCTTTTATATTACTGCTGTAATCTAATACCCAAAGGCTAGGAATAGAATGAAAAGAAGCCAAATGAGAGCAGAAATAAAGGACATGTAACCCAGAGCAGGGGACCTCTATTGCAGAGAAGTAGGTCAAGGTTGCCCTCCCAGTCTGCAGCACCTCAAGACAGACTTTGAAGCTCCAGTTCCTTTCATTACCCTTCTCATTGTCCACCTGGAACAGCGATAACTGCTCTTTTTGTCTGGAACTAGTGAATTCCTTGTTAATTGGTGTCAAGGCCAGATTCCCTTGTTACTGGATTTTTTAGTTGATTTACCCGGGTAGATTTGTATATTGTCTTGGAAACCTTTCACAGTTCTGAGTGACCCTTGTAAACTCCACATCTTCTCCTCTAGCTGGAATTTGGAGAAACTTTAATCCACCTGCAGTTTTCTTCTGTTGTCAAAGTCACTGACATTATCTAACTTAAGCACATTGCAGAAAACTCAGAGAAACACCTGAGGGAAAATGCTAGGGAAATAAATTTTCCCCCTTTAAAAAAAAAAACAAACAATAAAACCACTCATATTTAGTAAGTGAAAGTCAAAACTGTTATAGACAGTGTTGTTGAAAACATGAGCGTGTTATATCCTAATTATTTAAAAGTGAAGACCACCTTCAGAAACACAAGTGTGGTGTATAATTATGCCTTAGCACTCTATTTTAGCCTAACTAAATATACAGCTTTTCTCTCTAATAGTCTGTATACCCAAGCATACTTCAGTTCTTTAAATAGGGAGCCCATTTCTTAGAAATAATTCAAAGCAAAAAAAAAATCTGCTTTTTGTAGAATTAGTAACACACATGCCCACCTATATCCTGCAGCTTATTGCCTTATTTAATATAGAAACAAATGTGCGTAGCTGTCCTAAGTTCACGAAGGGAGAATTCAGCACTTTCCACACTTACTGCATTGACACTGTTGACGTCTTCATAGATAGAGTTAGCAGTGGGCTCGTGTTTGTTACCTTCTGTGCTACTGACTTTTATTGTGACTTTCAGGTTGCAGGCCTCCGCTCACCAAAAGGCGCTAGCTAGGGACCAGGCAAATGAGGGCAAAGATTCTGTCGAACAGGGTGAACCTGATTCCTCCACGCTCAGCCTGGCGGAGAAGTTGGCCTTATTTAATAAGTTGTCCCAGCCCGTGTCCAAAGCCATTTCCACTCGAAACCGACTAGACATAAGACAGCGGAGGATGAATGCTCGCTATCAGACACAGCCTGTCACGCTAGGCGAGGTGGAGCAGGTGGGTACAGTGTTCTGTAAGTCTAATGTCTGTGTGTCCTTAAGCTCGGTGTCATTCTGAGACGAAGAGACAGACTTCCTATCTGTCAGCTGTGCTACCTCTATCCTGTGTGTGTACCTGTGATCCTGCAAAAGGCTCAGACCAAGTATGTTTCTCTCTTCTTACTTCATTGGCTGGCTGAAGTCACCTTGAGTAAGTCCGTGTTGTGGGGATCAGCAGTGTTCACAGCCTGCTTTTCCCCCCTCCCCCGGAAGATGTTTTCTGACAAGATGTGTTGTATAACAATGTCCAGAAAGGGCTTCCCACGAAGATAAGCAGCGAGACTACCAAAGCTAGTGTTTGGGCCTGCTGGTCGGGATTGAGTTTGATAATATTTTTAAATCATCTTTGTGCCTCCTCACTGTGCCCCCTACCCCAGGTGCAGAATGGAAAGCTTATCCCTTTCACACCGACAGTCAACACCTCGGTGTCCACCATGGCGCCCACGGCCACGCCGATGTATGCTGGGGATCTTCGGGCCATGCCGTCTGCCGATGATAGTAAAAGTGCCACTGAGTATAAGCCCCCTCTTTCAGTTGAAAACTCTGACTCTCCAGTTAGAAGCATTCTGAAGTCGCAAGCATGGCAGCCTTCGGTTGAGGAGAGTGGGAGCAAACACACGTTGAGAGAGTTTGGAGAGATGGATGGCAGGCGAGTCTCAGCTGGTGGAAATAGTTGGGCTAAAAAGCATGAGTCCTTTGAAGAAGCAGACTCATCCTGTGCTGCTGTTGATAGGGTGAGGGAAAGAGACAGCCATAAAGAACCTAAATATGCTGCTTCAAGGAAAGAAAGCATGGAGCTGGCTAGCCCTCCCATTGCCCATCTTGGTGATGAGCTCAAGGAATTTTCCACTGCCCGAAGCGTTGCAGTGGGGAACCAGGACTTGAAAGACAGGCAGCCCTTTGAAGAGAAGGTGGACGTGGAGAGTGTCACTACAAGGAAGTTTTCTCTAAGAGGTAAAGTAAATTATGACTATTCTTAAGGCTTTAGGGACTAATTTCTCTTTCTGTTTGTTGTGTTGTGTGTGTTTGTTTCCAGGTGCATCGCAAAAGCAGCTCACAGCTCTTACCGACAAAAAGTCCAGTGAGAATCAAATGGCCCTGCACACTTCTCTGCCCCTTTAATTTGATTCCATGCACTAACCAGTTTTTTAGCAGGGAAAAAAAAGAAGAAAAAAAAATGCCAGCTGCTCTCTCCCACAGTTTAAGCATTTTGATCACTGAGCCTGTTTCCTGTTTGCTCACATGAGTTATCAGTTCTGTTGGCATTTGTGGGTGATCTGAAAAGTTCAGGGCTAAGATAAGCACAGAGAATAAGGACTTACACTCCTAATTCTGGTTTTCCAGACTCTCTGTCTACATAGTTTTCTTTTTTTCTTCTTTTGTTTTTGGTTTGTTTTTGTTGAGGGTTCCCCCCCCCATCCCTGGGGATAAGATAAAAGTGTGTGTCTTTAATCCTCTTTCTAATTGATATGAAATGGTTCTGAGTAAGTTACAGTAAGCATTTTGATGTGTGAGTAGAGCGCATTTGGAATGTGAAAGTCTTATTTGGGGGGGAGGATTTGGAATGTGAAAGTCTTATTTGGGGGGTAGCATTCCAACGTTTACAGTGAAAGCTGACTTCCTGTGTCTTGAACAGGAAAAAGACCAATTATCGTGACCCCGTTTGCTGTGGGAAGTAACCCACGAGGAGGTTTGGTTTTCTCACTGTCCAGAGGGCTTGGGTAACCTGTCATGTGAGCACGGTTGGACTCCGAGCACTTGACCATTAGAGGGTTAAGAGCTACGAGAATGTCCACTGGAGGAGTAGGTGCTGATTCTCCTCCCTTCCTGCCCAGCAGCCGAGCTTGGGGAGCCCACTGGGGAGCAGGCGGGCACAGCTGCTGGAAAGGCCATTGCTCCAGCCACGACTCCGGCCTCCTGTAAGCAGCAAGACTCTGCAGAACAAGAACAGGAGAAGTCTTACAAGAGTCCATGCACCATGCTTGCTGCTGGAGAGACCAGGGCTGCAATGATGGAGGGTATCCTGGACTCACCCAGCAAGACCATGTCAATTAAAGAAAGGTAAATGGAGACATGGGGGTGGAAAGTGGATTCTAGTCAGAGGGGAGGGGAAGGAGTTTAACCTATTATTTAAAAAATCATTTGTGTAATAGACATGACGATAAAATCTCACATTCAGCTCTGTGGGGGGCTATGCGGGTCTACTCACATTCCTTGACAAGTCCAGGTACTTGATAATGAACCATGTGACCCCGGTGCCTAATCGGTCATTTGCCACTTCCAGACTCAGACGAGGAAGCAAACAGAGACAGGCTTGGTGTTTGGTTTTTTTGTTTGTTTGTTTTTTGTTTTGGTTTTTTGCTTCCTTTATATGTGATTTCATTTTATTTTTTGCATTAAATTCTCCCATCACCACTGAGTGATGGGAGCAGCCATCTTGGGCTTTTCAGATACACATGGTGTCTACTCGAAGTTATTAACTGTTGACGGCTCTTTGTCCAACTAAAAATATACGTCAGGGGAATGAAGATAAATTCACCTTTAAAACATAAATCTGTGGGATTGAAATCCAAGTTCTGCCTGTTTCACAAGAAAGTAGAATGGATGGCCTTTCTGAACTGCATTTAGAAATTTCATATCAGGTAATAGCTATGAAAGATTGAATTTGAGCATTAAGTCACACTGTCACCTTATTTCATTCAAAAGAATGATGTTGGATTGAGAGGCTCTATTTAAATGAGAGCTGTACAGAGAATGGGAGTTAAACATTTCAAGTTATACTTTCCTTTTTAACCTTTAACCAGAGCTGAATTAAGTGACAAAAGGTGTTAATAGTGATAGGAATATCAGGTGAAGAAAGGTGAAGTTAATTTCCAAGTCTGAGTAGCAGAACTGTTTCCATTGTCTGGTCCTTACAGCGGTGCCAGCCTTATCCCTGTCTGGCCACCTCCTGACATGCAGAAGTGTGATTGCTCTGTCAATCATGTGTCCATCTTATTTTATTCTGGACACATTTTTAAGCCACCCACGATTCTACATCTATAGAAATGCTCCGTTCACTTTTTTCTTTAAGTATTTGGGATGTTATTTATAAAAATATTAGATAAAATCTTTTTCTGCTGGCGAAGTAAAAAGGTTGCTAAAACTTATTTTTGCTAGTTGTTGTTTACCGTTGAGTCACAACTGACGCATAGCTAACCCTTCAGTGGGTTTTCAGAAGTAGTGAATCACACAGGAGATTGCCCACCCTTCTCCCATGGAACAGCTGGTGGATTCGAACCATCTGCCTTTGGAATTGCAGTGCAGCTTCTTACCACGAGGCCACAAGAGCTCCCTCTGGGGAGTTTCACAGCTCATCCAAAGGCAGCGCCTCTCTGTTGGTTCAAATCCTCCAGTGACTCCATGAGAGGAAAAAGCTCCTTTCGTGCAATTTTTCAGCCTTGGAAACCCAGTGGAGTGTCAGCTATGCATTGGTTCTGACTCAATGGCAATGAGAGCTGAGCGTTATTATTTTAAAATGCGTAGTAAACCAGGCTTCCTTGCCCTGCTAGTGTGATAGGTGAGCTCTCGACTGCTAATGCCAAGTGCAGCAGTTTGAACCTACCCAGCAACTCTGTAAGAGAAAGGCATTGTGATCTCTTCCCAGGAGGATTGCAGCCTATAAAACCTTAGGAGATCTGTTCACGCTATATCACATGGGGTCTCTGTGAATGGGAATTGACTCCAAGGCACCCTACAATGACGACCTGCCTAGACGGAGGGGCAGAAGAGAAATAAGAGTGGGGTTTTGAGTCTGTGAAGCACTTTGGCCTATTTCAGCATGAGGCCATCTTCCACAAAATCGTGGCTTAAGGAGAATTTGATCCCAGAGATGGGATCAAAACCCAGACAGCTGGTTATCTGAGAAGGAAGAGAGAGCATGTAAGGAAGTTAGTGATAAAATCACTTAAACACAAGTTCTGATGTTTTCTAAGGAGTCTGAGGTAAAATTCCAATGGGGCTTATTAACATACTCTCATGCTTCATGGACTTTTAAAGGTTTCTGGGGATATTCTGTCTGTTGGACATTTTTCATTAAGTTCTTTGTCCATCCACTGTATCATAATTCTTAATTTGCCTACATGGTTTTAATGGATTTTAGCTTTGCTCATATCTTTTTAAACACATCTTGAATCCTATTACAAGAATCTCATTTTTTAAAATTTGAGAAACTCTAAAGACATGACTTTTTGCCCAGGTTTGATGGCTTCCTGGGGAACTGCCCAGTTGCAGTTTTTGTTGTTGTTGCTGATTGCTGTCAAGTCGAGCACAACTCATAGCGCCTCTATGAACGAAAGCCCTGAATGAAGCCTTTCTATAACTATGGTCATTTCTCAAAGCGTCTCTGGAGGCATGCTGTTTAGGAAGTGGATGCCACTCCTGTTTCCAAACCTGTCTTAAACTGGGAGTTCCACCAAACACTGCCCACCATGGGTAACCGTTACAACATTTGACACCCCAGTGGCACAAGGTTCAGCATCACAGCAACCCCAGGCTACCTCAGTACGGCATATTGACAGAGGAGTGCTGTACCACTTAGAAGAATGTTCCTCCAAAATATAGTAACAACTGACTTGTAAATACAAAGGCTCTCCCCTGTAGCCCAGTAGTAGATTTAAGACTGAATATGTAGGCACGTGGGGGTTCTGGCAAGAAGGGCTCATCACTTACCACTATCCCAAAGAGCTTCCTGAACCCTAGTGGGTTCAGAACATTAAGAATAGGAAAGCCCTAGTGTCGGCCCTGGAGTTAATTTTGACTTATTTTTTAATAAATTTTTTTTTATTTTAAACTGGTTTACTTACAAAGTATGTATACGTTGTTTTTCACACCAGATCTTTCCCAGTTCCTTTACTCACCCCTCCCTCCACCCATCAAATTGTACGACCCTATGATTAACACCCCCACCCCATCCATCCTTACTGAAGAACACTTTTTTTAGTGTGCTGTCGTCGATAGGAAGTTGTACTGTTATCCCAAAGACTGCACCCCTGGCAGTTCAAATTCATCAGCAGCTCATGGGAGAAAAGTGAACAGTCTCCTCTTGTGCTATTTACAGCCTCAGAAACTGAAGGGAGTATCAGCAGTGAATCAGTTCTGACTTGACAGCAGTGAGTTGAGCTTTGTGATAAAGTGGGCTAAAAAAGTACATTACCCATGATCTTAATCTTTTTTGACAGTACTTACTTGCACTTTGCTGAAAATAACAGCACTGCCTATCTTTAATCTTCTTGTTATATGCCATCAAATTGCCTGCGACTCATAGCAACCTTATGTACAACAGTTCTGAAGCCTGCGTTGTTCTGAGCCAATCTCACTGACTCCATCAACCCACCCACCCCCAATACCCAGTTACTGTGCCAATCCATCTCATCCAGGATCTTCCTCTCCTGCACTCCCTCCACCCCTTCAAACATGATGTCCTTCTCCAAGGATCAGTCCCTCCTGGCCACGTGCCCAAAGTACGTGAGATGAAGCTTCAAAAATCCTAGACTCCAAGGAGAAACTTAGTTTTACCCTCTCCAAGACAGACCTATTTGTTTTCTTGTCAGTCCATGGTATGTTCAACACTCTTCTCCAGCACCACAACTCGAAGGCATCAATTCTTCTTCTGTAATCATTACTCATTGTCCAGCTCTCTGATGCATGGAAAGTAATTTCAGAAACCATGGCCTGAATCAGGGCACCAATCTTTAGCATTTAAGAAATAGCTTAGCCAAAACGATTCTCTAACCCCTTCCTAAAATAATGAGGCTAGAACATATTTATTTGGTATTTTTGTTTTCCTCTTTTTTTTGGTGGTAACATATGAAATCATAGAACTTTTATTGTTAGGTGCCGATGAATCAATTTCAGTGCATATCAATTTTAATGTGTTGTTGTTAGGTGCTGTTAAGTACAACCCATATGGACACAATGAACAACATATCTGAACTCTGTTCTGTTCTATGCCGTCCTCACGCTTCCTGACACACTAGAGCTTATTGCAGCAGTCACTGTGTCTGTCCACCTGGTTGAGGGTCTTCCTCTCCTTCACCAACCCTCTGCCTTTATGAGCATTATGTCCTTCTCCAAGGAATAGCCCCTCCTACCAACATTCCCGAAGTATGTTAAGCAAAGCTTTATGATCTTTGCTTCCAAAGAGCACTCTGGTGGCCCTTTCTCTAAGACATATCTGGTTTTTTCTTTTGACATTTCATGGGATGTTCAGTGCTCTTCTCCAACACCACAGATCAAAGGCATCAATTCTTCTTTTGTCATCCTTATTTATTGTTCAGCTCTCAGATGCACAGCAAGTGATCAGCAAAACCATAGCAGGAATCAGACACACCTTAGTCCTTACACTGACATCATTACTCCTCAATAATTTGGAGAGGTCCCTAACTGCAGACTTTCCCAGTACAATATGTCTCCTGATGTCCTGACTGCTAGTACCAAGGATGTCCTGGTCCTGCCTGGTGGCAAGAGTTAACACTGCAGTCCCAATGGCACACAGTTCAAGTCTGCCAGCTGCTCTGTGGGAGAAGGATGGGCTTTCTGCTCCCATGTGATAACTGCCTCTGAATACCCACTGAAGGGTCAGCTGTGAGTTGATTCTGA